GTATTAGCACCCAAGTTTTCTACTTGTTGCGATTCACTTCATCATCATACAAATTTAAACAGCCCGAATCACATTATCCACACTTCTTGACCCATTTTGGGGTATAGAGTAAAGTCAACAACATTAATTATAAAACACTCTGTGGTAAGATGGAACACTATTGCAGCTGAGATAAAGAAGTTTGGTTATTAAAAAAATAAAACCAAAAAAAACACAAACAGAAAGAAATGTTAGCTGACACACAGTACAAACGAGTGTAAAAAGCAACAATCCATACAAATAAGTCAGTTTTAACAAAAGGATACTTTTTTTTTTTTCACTACTCTGTGACTAATCTTTCACTCAAACCTTGCAAGTAGAGATGTCACAATACTGAAATATGTAGGTAGGAGCTTTACCCAGTTAAATGCCATTCTGTTGCTAATATATAGATAAAATGAAAACTAGCAGTTATTTGCTAATTGCATAAATGCAGTACATTCTGCATTAGCCCATGCCTCACTAACAAGCTAGAAAACACAAGATATAGGCAGAAATCTAAGCATAATCTTTATACCACTAAGCAAGAATTTTCCAATTTCTTTTCTTCTGTACCTAATCACTTGTTTGTAGTTAATGTAAAATTCCAACAAGTAGTACCCAATTTGAGTTAAAATTTTACATTACAACTTGATCTAATCTATATATTATTTACAAAACTGAATACATAGAGCATACCCAAAAGCCAACTCCGGACACGTATTTCTCGGAGTTATTGATCACCTCACCTCCTGGCAGTGGGAGTGGAAAGGCAATCAATGACATAGAAACACACCATCTATCTCGAGCAAGTCATTGGATGTTCTGTTTACGCAACACCAGTTTTGCAGTTGTATGGTTTTGTAAAATAAAAATTTGGTGCCATTACAATGACAGGCTGCCGTAACAGCACAGCTTCAAGGTGAGGTGGAGGTTGGAATAGAAGAAGTGGGAGGGCAGACAGAGCATGCATATGATGACCAGATGTGTTCTACAGTATGGGGCACACAGGGGCCACTGTAACAGGGGACACGAGAGGGGGAAGAGGGAGACGCTGCGTGACACTGTTCATAGACAGTGGTGACATTGAGTGTGCCTCCTCAGGACAGCCACCCAAGGCTTACATGGAGGTGATCGAGGGAAAACGCTCCAAGTGAGGTGTAGCCCCTCACAGAACATGGAGTCCGCTCAGTTACGTTCTTTGACACTCAGACATCACCACTGTAGATGCAGGGAAAGGCACCATCTTACACAAGGACAGCAGTTGGTGTCAGATTCACACACACACACACATTCAGGCATGTGTGCGCACACAGGACATACTGATGAGTTAGAGGGGGAAAGCCAAGAGATGGTCTGTTGACCTAGCCAGGTTTTCAACCTGGTGGTATTTCCGTTGGGGTGACTTTGCTATCAGGGCCACAGATTTGGCTGCACCTGGTGTTGAATAAATCCACTGTGATATCCCTAGAGCACTGTACTGTGACATCCCTAGTCTTACACTAAAACCACTGTAATAAAGGAAAAGGCTTGTCAAAATCTCGCATGTTCTGCTTCATTCTGTCATTTTATTACCCAATTAGCCAGTACATTTTCCAATCACTTTACATAACCAACCATTTTCATCTCATCCTTGTCACACTATTGTAAACCACATCAGCAAGTTAATACATAAAGCTTTGCATTTCAAAAAACTAGACACTTTAGTAACAATATTACAAAGATTTTAGCTTCAAAAATAACTGAAAATGAAAAAAATAAACTTTTAAAGAATTAGCATCATAAAATTAATTTATTCCAAGTAAAAATACAAAATAATATTATGACATTGACCAGATATGAAAGTCCCTCCCAGAAACAACTCTATTAATGATTGAGAAAGCACTCCTTAAAGAAAATACGAAATAAAATGAAAAATATGTAAATATGTTTAATTTTTTTCTTAGCAAAAAATCTTTCTAAAAATAACAATGAAAATTTGTCTCAGTACAAAGGCTACATTACTATTGAAAAAATACCAGCATGAAGAAAAGGTACATATTTGACAGTAGAAAAATGATTTCAGTGAATCACAATGTCTAAAGTTTGCAATGAAAATAAATCTGCAATAAAGATTTATGCCTTTTTTCTTTTCTTTTTTTTTATCTATTTTTTATACAAACAGTACAAACAGTATTGCACATAACAACAAATAGTCGAGGTTAGGTTACAGCCTTCAAAAAATCGACTAGTTCAAGTGTCACATCAAGGAAAGGCCACATCAGGACCTATGCTACCCGGGGGGCTTCCCAGTCAAGTTGCAGGTCAGAACACCTCTGTTTTAAAAAATAATTGTTTTTGAAGGACCCTCTCTTTTAATATAACATTAACAACTTGGGGGCACATTTATTTACAAAACAAAAGGGAACATGTTATAATTTAATAAACTAAAAAAGTTCTCTTTAAAAAAATACAAACAGAAGAACTCTTTCACAATCCTGGTCAGTCGTGCACAATCAACGCTTGATTATAAATATACAAATTAAGGGAAAGTAGTTTCCACCTTCTATTCACAACTTTCAGCACCAAATGGAGTTTTATTTTGTGTAACCTATTCTTTGTGACATTTTTTTTTTGTCTCACTTTCACTTTAGCTTTATGCTGAATAATCTTCCAACTTTTTTTTTTTTTCTTTAAATCTCAGTAATATTTTCGAACATGAAAGAGGGGTGCTTCTTCAAAAAGTTTTGTTTCTTTCACATAATTAGGTAGATTTCTGTAGGTTAGATATGATCTTTAATATTATAGTTATAAAGCTCTAACTTCTTCATTTTCAAAAAACACAAATAAGCATGAAAAAAATAAAGTTACCCATCTGTTAAATCATTTTTTCTTGCAGAATTAAATTAATATATATTTTTTTCTGAATAAACTTACTTAGAAAATATCATTTTTCTTTCCTATATTTCAAAATTGAGGTATTGCAAAAGATCATGTCAGTCAGAAAGCATGCCTTTTCCTTAAAACAAACAAACAAAAATCTTCAGCCAACTTTTGAAAACTGTCTACAATACAAAAAGTAGTAGTGCATAACAAAATTTCTTATACAGATTAAAGAAAATCCACAAGCATAGGGAAAAAACAAACAAACAAACAAACCGAAAACCACACCTGGGCTGGAATAAAGGAATATTACCAAAAAGCCCAGAGCTAACCTCAAACGGGGAGAAACACTTAATAAGCATTTTTAATCCAGTAAAAAACTATTTTGTTTTTCCTTTTTGAAAAACTGTAGCTTGAGAGCTAGTAATTGCAACTAAACATTGGAGAAAAGAAAACAAACAGTAGTAACTTAAGACAGAACAAGGACATCACAGCACATATAACAGCGACTTAAATCTACTCTGCAGTGTCAAATCCAGTCAGATTGTCCCCAGAATTCCAAAACACAGGAAGAAGATAAAAAAAGAGATTTCCATATTCTCACAATCCTAGTGTGTGTTATATATTACTATCTGTAGCCCAAGAGCGAATGCTAAAAAAATGTCCACGGTAGTACTGACAGGTCTTAATTCTATTCAAGCTTTACAGGATAAATCCAGGGAATTAAGTAAGTAGTTAATTTCTCATCCAGACAATCAACTCTGCCTAGACCATTATATTTTGTACAGACATTTCTTTAGCATCACCATTACACAACTTTCTTAAAATGTGCCTAGTTTGTCAATCTGACAACTTATCTCTATATACTGTATATATTCCTAGTGTTTGTAAGCTAAAATGAGCTCTTTGGTTTTCTGGACAAGGTCTGAAGCTATGTAAAATGGTGCAAGCACTAGGAGATCGTATCTAAGAGCTCATGTGTTAGTTAATAATATACCAGTTATGAACTGTCAAATTTGTTAATGTCTGACACAGAGGCTTTAATAGTTAGGTTTGATCACAGTTAGACATAATCACTTTACTATAAAATAAATTGCACAATATATAACAGAGCACCGCAAAGTACTTCATCTACCATCCACAAATTTGCTTTAAGAATATCCTACACCTAGGTTTTATATTGGTTGTAATATAGGTCATTCTGTTATGGGCGCTTTCTAATTCCAGAAGCATTCCATTTATTGAGGCATGCCTTCCTCCAGTCAATTACCAGTTCTTTGAATGAGAAACAAAACAAAAACAAAACAAAACAAAACAAAAAAAACCTTCTTTAAAAAAACTGAGTATTTTATAGCTTATATAGCTTATATAGATTCTTAATTTGTGCATTGTGGGAAGGTTTTATACTAGACATTGGATATAAAATTTATTGCATGCAGCAACCTGATTAAGTAAACATGCAGTCAGGAATATTGACCTTCCGTTGAAGCTTTCTGAAGTCTATTCTGATTTCCTTTCAGCAGCTGATTCTATCCCTAAGTCACAAAAGTGTGTTGTTGGATTTTTTTTAAATTGATACCTTAGCCTGAATAGAGGATTATGGTATTAATAATACCATTTTAATAGCAGCAAAAGCTATTGCAGCATAAATTTATATAACACTAAAAGATCTAACCAAAATCCTCAGCAAAACAAAAATCAAACATGAAAGAAAAATAAAGACCCAGCTTATGAGGTATCCTTACAAGTCAGACTAGAGAGCAACTAAAGGCTTATTTTCATTAAGGGTTATCCTTATTGTAAATGACCCAACTAATGATTGCTGAATTGTTGTGAAGTTTTTGCTACATCTGCCACCTACTTACGAGTATTACCTTTGGTAAAAGTCTGCTCCTAGGGGCAACTCCTTAAGTTTCTGAAAATAAGTGCATGCTCCAGTCAAAAGTAATCGGAACAACACCACAGCAGCAGCCACACCCCAGACATCCAGCTGATGTCCGCTGATGAGAACGGCAGTCTACTTACTGTCACTAGTGACAAGTCAGGGGGAAGAAATTAAGGTACCAAGCAGACAAAGGTGTGAATCAAAGTGCAAATCAGTACCATTAGACACTCTGCAGTTCTGCGTTATGCTGGACACTGAGCTCAGTAACATGACTGTAAATCATCATGAGAATAATAAAAAGACCCATTTCTTCTTTAAAAATCGAGAACGAATGCACAGATTTCCAGAACACTGTACGCCCTGAGGCAGTACCCTCTCTTTTCCCTCCTTGGTATCTACTCCAGTACTTGTGGCCGGGTCTGCCCTGGGCTCAGCTCCAGCGGAACGGGACGTGGCGAGGACGATCGCCTCCCTCCTTCACCAGCGGTTTGTGGAACTCCCGCCCGGCGCGGGAATGTATGCTCGCCCAGCAGTATTCGCAGTAATACTGCAGACAGGTGACGTTAGCACAGAAGAATGGGGCAAACTTCCCACCACAGCGTGTGCCCTGGCATTCATCACACATCTGATCATCCAGCACATATGGCTTCACTTCCACCTGGACCCAAAGAGGAGAGAGAAGAGAAAAAAGTTTAGCATGTTTCTTCCTCTTGAGTATACAGTATAACTTAGCCTATCCACTGCCACCAAGGTGATAGTGCCTTACTATCTGAGGGAAAGTCTTCATAGGAGTAGGCAGCCTGATAGTTCTCCCTCAGAGCAGGTGGTGGGTTTGAACCACTGACCTTGCAGTCAGCAGTCCAACGCTCAACCCACCGCCCCATCGGGGCTTCTTATATAACTTAACAGTATCCCTGGAATCCGATGCTGTGGACTCCACTAACATCTGGAGGCAGCTGACACATAATGTGTGGACTCTGCAGTCAGCTCTTGACTTATGATTTGTGTGACCTTAGGCAAATTCTTAACTGTTCTCAACCTTTTTGCTCATCTGTAAAATGGGTGTTGAGCGTACCACCTCACCCTATTCTGTTAAGGATTAAGATAAGGGGAGCACGGGAAAGCGCAGGAGCTGAATGCTGACGGTCAGGCAGCATGCGAATGCAGGATAAGAAAGAGGGGTGTATAGGGGAAGAAAGTCCTAGAAGTCAGAAAAGGCAGGGGCAGAGTTGGGGAATCATTTGGCTGGAGCCAAACCTGAGGGCAAAAGTCACACTGAGGCTGAAAAGGAACTGAAGAGAGCTACTGTGAGGCTTTGGGTTTCAACACTGTTATAACAGGCTTTCAAAAGATTAACATTCTACTGCTTTATACATTGGAATACAGGGAAAAGGAGAGCTTAGTCAAGATGTTAGAAAGCTACTCAAATAGTTGAGGCTTTTACAATCACCTTCACTGAAAGGTCACTTTTCAATGTCACCAACCCTCCAAGACTGGAAGCTTCAACAGAACTGTGCACTGTAGCCCTTTGTTACTGTTATGAAATACCATCAAGTTGCTTCGGGCTCAGGTTGACCTGACAGGACCAGTAGAACTGTCCCAGAGGGGGAACCACCAGGTCGGCTCTCCTGAATAGCTTCTGGTGGATTCAAACCACCAACCTTTCAGTTAGCGGCTGAGTGCTTAACCACTCTGCCACCAGGGATCCTTGTTGTTGTTAAGTGCCATTGAGTCAGTTGCGACCCATAACAGCCCTGTATTGGATTCCAGGGAGCGGCTGGTGAATTTGAACCGGCAACCTTGAAGTCAAGTGCTTCTCCACCAGCACCATACCAGGATTCCAAGACTCCTTTGTTGTTGTTGTTATGTGCCATGGAGTCGGTTCTGACCCCTAGCGACCCTATATAGCATTTCCGAGGCTGTAAATCTTTACCGGAGCAGAAAGCCTCATCTTTCTCCTGCAGGACGGCTGGTAGTTTCGAACTGTCGACCTTGAGGTTCGCAGCCCAATTCGTAACCACTAAGCTACCAGAGCTCCTTAAGGACTCCTTAGGAGGCCTATTATAACATAGATGAAGTGGAGCTGTATCATGGGAACACCAAAAGCAAAAAAGAACAAAAGGTAACACTATTCCCCTCACATCCTCTTCCTAGAAACTCAGAAAAAGGTACATTATCACTGTTATTTTTAATCTTGAATAGGAAGTAGAATGAAGGTGAAAACTCGGGTCCCTTCTAATGTGTACTGCTAGAGTCATCTGGGGGGACAAGCAACCGCTGTGGTCATGGAGACTGGGGCATGTGGTCTAGGGAAGTGAGCTAACTTCATGACAATTCAGGCTGCCTCTGGATAAAGCTGGATGATTCTAGCAAGGGTGAGTCAGGCTTCACTGGAGGGGAAAGCAGGGTGGAAAGTGTGGGGTAAGCAGGAAGGTGAAGAATACCTACTACCTGTGATTGGTGGTGGTGGGCCGTGGAGTTGGTTCCGACTCACAGTGACCCTGTACAGGGTTTCCAAGGCTGTCAATCTTTACCAGAGCAGAAAGTTTCATCTTTCTCCTGCGGACAGCTGGTAGTTTCGAACTGCTGACCTTGGGATTAACAATTGACTTGTAACCACTACACTATATTAGACTCTATAGTTTTCTGGTCCTCCTGGTGTGGCACCATAGGATAGGCACTTGGCCTCAAAGTCAATTTGAACCACAAGGTTGACGGTTCAAACTCACCAGCCACTCCTAGGAAACCCTATACAGGGTCGCTATGAGTCAGAACTGACTTACTGGCACTTATCAACAACAACATAGCTTTTAAGGAGTCCTGGCGTGGCTCTGTAGGATAAGCACTCGACCTCAAGGTTGGTTTGAACCACACGGTCAGTGGTTAAAGCTCACCAGCAGCTTCTAGAAAACCCTATACAGGGTCACTATGAGAACCAAGTCATTGGCACTTAACACCAATCACAACATACTTTTCTGGTGGCCTCCCCAGAATTCTACTCTAGCCATGAGCTCTAGTTCACAGGTCCAAAAGCCAGTCACACCTTTCTACTTGGATGACCCACCTGGTTTTTGGTTACCCACGGGAAAACGTCTTTACTCTGACTCTAGATCCTGTTTCTCCTCTCCAACATGACCAGCTCATGAGTGGGCTTCATGTCTCTTTCACATTCATCTTGGCATTGCAATTAAACTGCAGTGGCTCTGTGGTTAATCTGGGTTCAAATTTAGGCCCAATAAGCAGCAGTATGACCTCAGGCACATTTCTCAGCCACCCTGATCATGTTTCCTCCTCATCTGAGCATTGACAGAAAACAAGAGTTCCTACCTCACAGGGTTACTGTGAGAATTCAATCATAGAAAACACACAGACAGTGTTTCCATAAGCACCGAGTGTACCTATTATTTCCACTGATTCTTCTCTAGTCCAGGTCATTACCGTCAGTATCAATGGCCTATGAACTGGTCACCAAGCATCCGGACCCTCATATAAACAAGTTGACTATGAATGAATAATCTACTTTCATACTGTTCCCCTCCTACTCAAAGTCACTCGGCTTCGCCAATGCTTATAAATTGCACTCTGCTGCTGTAATGAAAGAGCATACCCGCCCTCTTAAGATCAAATATGAACCAAGATTCCCCATTGGTTGCAATCCTCTTCAAACTACTTCCTAACTCAAACTGGTCTCTATTTTTACTTGCACTTCTGTCCCACCTCAAATGCTTTCTTTACCCTTTCCTTCAGCACACTCAAAAATTCTAGAGATCTAGTAAGGCTCAGCCATTCTTTTCTTTCACATAAAAGTTACCAACAATTCAGTACACATTCTCATATTGTGCAACCACCACCTCTATCTAGTTCCAAAACATACTCATTGCTCAATGAAGCCCTGTACCCACTAAGCAGTTACTCCCCATTTCTTCTGCCCTTAGACCTGGGCAATCACCAGTCTGTTTTGTCTTTATGGCATTCTGGTCTATTCTGGCATTTCATATGAATGAATAGAATCATACAGTACGTGACTTTTTGTGCCCGGCTTCTTTCATACAGTATAATGTTACAAGATTCATGCACAATATATGATACGTCTGCATTCATTTATTTTTATGGCTAAATAATATTTCATTGTGTGTTCTTATGGATTAATTTGTGTCCTGCAAAAGATTTATTAAAATTCTAATCTGTGCATAGGCTCTGGTTTGGGGGAATAGGATTTTTATTCGCCAAAGTTATCACTTAGATTTATGGAGGTCTGGTATGATGCTGTAGTACAAGCACTTGACCAAGAGGTCATTTCAACTGCAAGGTTGGAGGTTTCAACTGCTCCTTGGAAACCCTATAGAGGGTTGTTATGAATTGGACCCAATCTAAGGGTGCTTTAACAACAACAACCCAAATAGGGTTGGTCCTAATCCCTTCTAAGTGAGGAAAAGTGACTACATGACAGACAGCTGGAAGCCAAGGAATTCCCAGGGCTAACACAGGAGTCCTGGTGTGGAACCACAGTATAAGCACTGGACTGCTAACCATAAGGTCATCGTTTCAAAACCACCCGCAACAACTCGGAAACCCTATACAGGGTTGCTGTTGAGCCAGAACTGACTCCACGGCACTTAACAATGACGATACAAGGTAGAAGAACCAAGGAAGAATCTTCTCTTAGAGCAGACAGAAAGAGAGCGTGGTGCTGCTGATACAACGAGTCCATATTCCTAGTCTCCAAGGTGGAATATACCAACAGGTGGAAGCTGCTCTGTGGAAGAAAGATGTGGCAGTCTGTAAAGATTTACTCATAAAGCAAGTTCCTCTCTGTCCTACAGGGTTGCTATGAGTTGGAGTGAACCCAACAGGAATGGGTTTTTTGGGGGGTTAGCCTTCACAGCGGAAAGATAACCAATTTAAAGCCATTTTGATATGGCAGTCCTAGGAAACTAAGAGGGCACTGGCAGGTCACTAGGGCTCTTGCCTCCCATGCAGAAGACCTGAGTTTGATTCTCAGCCAGTGCTCCACATGCATAGTCACCACTTGTCTTGTCCGTGGAGGCGCGTGTGTGGCTGTGCTATAGAACAGGCCTCATAGGAACTGCTAGACTAAGGTGACTAGGAAGAAAGGTCTGGTGATCTACCTCTAACAGTCAGTCAATGATGTGGGTGTCGGAAAAGTAAACGATCACATAATTCACAATAAAAACTCAAAAAACAAAAAAGGTCTGGTGATCTACCTCAAAGAGTCAGTCAATGATGTGAGTGTCAGAAATGTAAACTGTCACAAAATTCACAATAAAAACTCAAAAAACCCCCCAAAAAACTTAGTCAATGAAAACGCTGTTGCTCGTAATGGTCTAACTGCAACAAGTCATAGGGATGGCATAGGTCTGGGCAGCCTTTCATTCTGCTCTGCATGGGGTCCATCATGAGTAGGGGTCTGATTACTCAGTAGCTAACAAAACCAAGAAACTAAAACATAGGTATTAATCTCAATTTGCTTATTCATTCTTCCACTAATTGACATTTAGGCTGTTTTTATCTCCTGGCTATTAAAAGTAGGGCTGCTAAGACCATCAGAGTACAATATTTTGACTGAGTGTGAGCTACCTGTCTGAATTCCCATAGGTACCACTAGGAGAAGAATTACCAAGTCATATGGTAATTCTA